GAGCAAGAGGAGGCATGGCCTGTTTGAAGAATTTGCCATGCTGAGGGCCCAGGTCAGCATAGCCTGTCAGCCCAGGCCAACCTCTGTCTGAAGGAACAGTGAGCAGCACTGAGCCCACAGAAACAGATGGGCAGCTCTGTGGGCTACAGTGACAAACACAGTGACACCCGTCTCTAAATGAAACACAAAATAGGGCTGGGGATGTGGCTCAGTGGCTGAATGCCCCTTCAAAATATAGACATCTATATGTCATTTGACCCTGTGTCTGGTGATGAGATGGTTATCATGTTCATTCCACACAATTGGCAATCTGAGCAATTAAATGATTTATCCAAATTCAGAGCAAAGACTTAAACCTAGGATTTTTAAATTTTATTTTTTTCCCATTATACTAGTGTGGCTGTTCATTGTATTGATGGGGTAAATTAAATTATGATCACAAAGGGCACCTCGTCCCTTTCTGACGTTTCCTCAGAGTCTTGAAGGTGGCTCCTCAGAGGGAACACTTTCTTTCCTGTCAGCCTCTCTACCTGCTGATCTCTGAGACGTGAGAAAGGATCACTAGGAGTACATGCCTGATCTTCATGCTCAAAGGTCTTATAGAGAGTTCCAGAACTCCTCTCAATCATACCAGCATCAACTGAAGACTTCACATTAGCCGGAAGACTAAAATTTTCACATATAAAACTATAGGTAGGTAACTTCCCCGTTACCGTCTATTTTATTTCCAACTACAACTGGGACCGTGGATGCTTGGACAATTGGGATAATTGCTTAAAGAATAGAAAACGTTAAAAGTAAAGGTTTAGGTAGGAGTTATCTGAATGGTGGATTGTTAGAGGTAGGGGACAAAGAACAGCCTCCCTGTGGCATGGTGGCTCTGAGGAACCCTTGGGCCTCCTTGCTAGGCTGTGGTATCTGGTGTTCTCTTGGTGGTGTCTGCTATTGGTTCAGGAGCATAGTAGGAATATTTGAGCCACTTAAAGTGGTTCACCACCTGGTATAAAAGCTTCTGACCAGAAAGAGGAAAAAAGGCAATCAAAGTCAAAAGCATTTTAAAAATAGGAATTAGACAAGATGATCTGAAATGAGGCACTAGCAGCAAGAGCGATTTCTCAAAAATGAAGTTTAAATAGGAAAGAAAAACATTCTCCACAGGGGAGTGTGAGATGCCCTGTCCTCAGAGTGAGGGTGACTCCATCTGATGTCCAGGATAGCCTGGGTGGAGGGGGAGAATGCCCAGGTGAGACTTTTCGGGGGATCTCAACTTCTGGCTCCATTTTACCTGAAACCCAGAAGTAACACTGGTGTAAGAGAGGCCTGGGCCAGTAGAGTTCTCCAGAGGCCTCCTGAATCCTCAAAGCAGGTCCTCAGCCCCATCATCTAAAGCTCTAAGTGATGGCTAAGAGTTAGGCCAGGCGGTGGCATTTTGCCAGGTAGGCCCAACAGCACCCACTTTGTTTGAGGATGAACACGGGAAGGCAGGCTCAAGAGGCCAGAGGAAGAGAAGGCAAATGCTGAGAGTGTGTGGGTGCACATGCCTGTGCCCAGCCTTTCCTGGAGACACAGAATCCCGTCTACCCTGCAGCCTCCTTGTCCACCAGCCAACCAGCAAAACACAGCCCCCATTCTGCTCAGGAATGTGCTTTCAGAAACTTAATCTAACTGCTAAATCCAGGCCAAATCCCTCAGTGGCATTAACCCAAAGACAGCACCCCTTTCTCTCTCCCCCACCTGCCTTCCCACCACTGCTGTCTCCCCCAAGCTTGGGAGGCTGCGGTTCCATTCCACCAGCTCCACCTTCTGCGAGACACGGACCCCCAGTCTGCTCACCCCATTTCCAGTGCTTTCTTTCCCTCCACTCAGGCCCACACATTTCACTTGTGATTCATGTCTAAATGACAAGCCAATAGTTCTTGGCTTTCAAACAAGACCGCTCCGCTCTCGCACATGCCCCTTCTTCTCTCGCTGTGTCTTCTTGGGCTGCAACCAAACCCTTCCCTTTGTCCTCTCTGCCAACCACACATCCCTGCAAGCACTAGAGAGAGCAGCAGCCAGGAATTTTTTTTTTTTAAATAAATTGTCTATAAATTGTCTCTCTTCACCCAGATACACCTTGAAGCAAGAGGAGGAGTCCAAAATCAATCTTCTCCTTTCCAACCCTCCCTTTGCCAAACAGTAAAAGTTCAGCCTGATTCCTAATTAGCCTGAATGAATGGTTATGGAATTTCTGGAGCCCCCACAGACACGTGCAGACCATTTGTAGATGAAATCTCCCTCCCAGATACCCTCTAAAGGCATAAAGTTGCTAAAAGGCATGTCTTATTTATAATAATGAACAGCTGGAAGTGAACTAATTGCCCAGCAATAGGAAGAGAATTCAGTTCCTTATGGAGGAGCCACTGGGGGATGTGCTAGGGCCATCTGTAGTTAGGAGCATGTTTTGCTGGGGCCGAAGGATGGAACAACCAGGAAGGGGCATGACGGGATGTGTCAGAGTGATGGTTACACAGCGCACTGGATGGTTCACTAAAGATCAATATACTTTGTGTATTTTACTGTGAGCATTTTATACTTGTCTATAAAGAAGAAAGTAAATTATATTATGGTCAATGGCAAATGCATATTATATATACAATGTCAAGGGAAGAAAATAAGTAGACACTGGAATTTAGTATCATCATTACAATAATGTAAAAATAGGGGTATGGATAAAGACTTGAAAGAGTATGTGCCCAAATGACAGTAGTTGGTTTGTAGAGATGGCAGGCTTGAGAGAGCCATTGTTTTTATATATTCTAAAATTTCTATACACAATCACAATTTCCAAATATAAAAGCCAGCCTCAGCAAAAGCGAAGCACTAAGCAACTCAGTGAGACCCTGTCGGTAAATAAAATACAAAATAAGGCTGGGGATGTGGCTCAGTGGTCAAGTGACCCTCAGTTCAATCCTGGTACCCTGCCCCCCACAATAAAGCAGAAGTAGAAATTATAAAAAGAAGTATAGTTATGACCTCAGCCCTTCCATTTAAAAACTTTATGTTGGTGGTACTGGGGACAAAAGCCAGTGCCTTGTGTCCACTAGGCAAGTGCTGTACCCCTGAGCTACACAACCCCAGCCCAAGTCAGCCCCTATTGATGTGGTGAGATGTCCCTTCCCCACCTCCACCCTCTTCACCTAAACCTCCAAGCACCCTTCCTTACACAGAACCAGCTGGCGACGGCCTGCTGGTACTCAGACTTAATGGTGCTTCCTCTTCCACAAAGGAAAATGGCTCCCACCGTGTGGGGGCTTCCAGGGGCAGCCTGACCCCTAGAGGAGATAGCTAAGGACACGCTCTGCCTCCTCCCCTTAGAACATGGCTGGGTTGCTCAACTATTTCCCAAGGAAACAGGGGCACAGCCAGCAGCAGCCTGTGTTCCACTCTCCCACAGAGCAGAGTCTCTCCAGGGAATCTGGGGACCAGAGGGCTGACTTCTCTACTTCCCCATCTCTTAGCATTTTTCTGCCAGAGCTCATGCCTCACACACCCCAAGGGCCCCAGCTGGCCACCACAGAGGTGCATTTCAGAAGCTTACTGTCTTAGGTATGAGCCACGACATGGGACCATGAACTTCCTGGAACTTTGTCATTCACGAGGGTGGTGATGGCAACATGGAAGCCCAAAGCAGGGGTGTCAGGGATAATGGGATACTGCTAACTCATGAGGGAATAAGCCCTGGAAATCTCAAAGTGAAATCCAAATGCCATTTAACAAATTTCCCTATTTTCTACACCTCAGGCTCCAGAAAAGGGCCAAGATGGAGGCTATTCTTTATCCTTCCAGGTTCAACGTATCATAATGAGTGTTGAGACTGCTGTGCAGCCTTCCGTAATTAATCTGCCAAAACTCAGGTTGCCTTATTATAATGGGTGGAAAATTAGGTAACACAGGTACAGTGCCCAGGACGTAGCACACACAAACAGTGAAGCCCGTGGTGTATCAGATGGCCAACCCTGGTCACTCCCACCTGGCACAACATGACAGGGTCCAGTAGGGTGGGCCCATGATGGTGGTGACTGGAATACCTGTCCTGCATAAGGCTCCTCTTCCTGCTGTGACCACGTCAAATCACTCAGCCCTCACTTTGCTCTGTGGAACCCTCATAATATATATTTAGGTAATTTTGTAAAAACCATGACTCACTTTCACAAACATGAAAGAAATAAAAGCAGTCATGAGACAATCTAGCAGGAAGTGCCTGGAAACAGAATCCACCAGATTTTATCAGGTTGGGAGCAACCTTAGAAGCCATTTGGCCCCTGGATTTCATATGTTGGCCTGAGGATCTATGTTCATGGTCATGTAATAATCAGAGAAAATAGAGATCACAGATAACACTGATTCTATAACAAGCAGAATGTCTGCAGACAATGACTTTAATAAACTACCTTATGCTGAGTGTAACAATATGAAAGGAAGAAAGAAAGGAGGGAGGGAAGGGAAGGAAAGAAAAAAAAAAACCTTGGACCAAATTGCCACTGAAGGTCTTGGTGTTTTCTGTTTTCTTCATCTTTTTCACTATGCTCTACAATTTATATTCCAGGCATCTGAAATATGCTCACCACTCACAGAGGCCAAGTCCTGGAAGGACAGGCTCTGTTACCCAGCCTCCTACATGCTCTGACTATAAAGGTTAAGAGAAGGGGGTGATGGTGATAGAGGTGCAGGGTGACAGCAGCTGGTCCATCACAAGGTGACAAAGTGGGGACACAGGACGTGGTTCAGCTCTGGGATCCCCAGAACTGTTCACCCCCTGAAGATGTTTGCTCCAGATACTGTCTTGCTCAGAGATTCCCCAGGCCATGATGGTACCCCCAATATTGCCCTCTGATTGAAAATTTCAACAATTAAGCACCCTTTTATGGCATGATTAATGACAGGAGGTACAAATGGTAGGGGGAAAGAGAGTGGGAGAGAGGAGATGGGAACACACTACAGCAAAGGAGCAGACTCACTGGCTAGTGTCACCGTGGCTGGCACACTGGCCACAGCCCCTGCAGGCATCCGGGCCACACACTGGTAGCGTCCCACGGTGTGGTTGTTGAGAGCAGTGATGACCAGGGTCCCTCGGGTGAGGAGGACGCCCAGAGCATCATCTGAGCCATTCAGCTCCTTCCCGTTCAGGCGCCAGGTTACGTTCACCCACGGGGGTTCCACCACACAGCCCAGGATCACAGTTCCTCCCAGCTTCTGGACAGTGGACACAGGCTGGACAGTGACCCGAGGGACCTCGTCTGGAAAAAGAACAGGCATACAGCAATGACATCAAGCCCCCAACAAACCAACCTTTTTAGAACCACTGCACCCTGGTACCCTTCCAGAATTAAGCACCCAGGACTTAAATTTCTCTGAGTAACATGACCATCACTGCCCAGCCTGTCTTTGCTCCCAGCAAACAGATCCGAAGTGGCAATGTGTCATAGAGACAAGAGCTCAGGCTCCAGAGTTGGAGAGAAGACCTGGGCTGAATCCCAGTGTCACCACTTCTGAGCCACGTGACTTGCCTTTTTCAGTCTCATCTGTAAAGCGAGGCCAATCATATTCATCTCCCAGGGCTGGCAGGAGGCTTACCAACCATGCATGTCCTGCCACGGTCTCATACGATAAACGAACAGTTATCATTTCCTCCTCCTCCTTGGGTACATCTTTGAAATCAATAATATACCAACATGTAACCAATATGGTATCACGATAGTTCTCATCTTGTGTTCTGGAATGTGCCCTTGATCGGTGGGAGCAAAGTGTTTTTGTTGTTGTTAAGAATTATGATAAGATGCTTTATGCATCCATCCAGCTCCAGGACAGAGTCCTTCCAGGGGAAACGGGCTGAGGGCAGGTGGGAACTCACTCAAGTCAGCAAGGCAGCCCACAGTGGCCAAGATGAGCCAGACGAGGGTGATCTCCGGCCTTTTTCCTTTCTGCGTTGTCATCGTCCCATGCAGCATGGTGTGTCAGAGGATCCCAAGGCAACGTTCCATAGGCCACCGGGTCACTCACAGAGCTCTTGCAGTCCCCTGCAACACTGTTGTAAGAGAGAAAGAATGGGGGTGGTGAGAACACCTGTGTGTGCTGGTGGCAGCCGCAGGCCGGACTTCACCCCACAGGCCGGGCTTCACCCCACTGGCCGGGCTTCCCTCGCACTTGCTGGCAGCATTCCAAGGGGGGACCTGCCAGGCTGTGGGAAGACCAAAGAACCCCCTCATGCCACTTCTCATGTAAAAGAAGCCTCTTGTCAGGTGTGCCCTTGAGCTAGAAGGTGATGTTATTGTGGTAAGGATGCTAGAGCTTTTCCCAAGGGACAACAAGAGGTACCCAGGACATGGAGCCAAGGATACAGACAGGCTGGGATCTACAGCCCTGTCCAGGACACAGGGCAGGGAGTGTCCAGTGCAGAAGCTGGAACAGATAAGATTATTCTTAGCATTTGCTTGCCAAAGGCCAGGTGGCATGCTATGCTACTAGAGAGGAACACTGTGGGACAGCACTGTCACTTGTGCATGCACCTGTGTGCAGAATTCTCCTTTTAGGGGAGGTTCCTGATTAAAAAAATCCTATCAGTATCTCATGAAACTGCTTTGACTTTTCTCATCTGGATTCCATGCCTAATAGATCCCTGTGAATGCTCTTTATTCCTGGAATCAGCCTGCGCTCATGGGGGTCATCTGGCTCATCTGTAACCTCCACTGCCAGCACAAACACAGGCACAAGTCACACATCAGCCAAGGCCCCTCACCTTCTCAGAGCACGGGTGGTTGCCACTTCTCTATCCCTAGTGCTGAAATTCTGGAATTTTCCATCTCTACAACATCTGTGCTCTTGACCACTACCTAGGTTGCATTTCTACCCATAAAATAGTCCCTTGAGGATTTGCATGGCTCCTCCAGCTACCTGGTGACACATCTCAGCCATCATCCACCCCTTCACACCCACCTAAAACATTAAATTCTCCCCTTCCACAGTATTATTCCTTACTCTCCTGTAAATTATGACCATTAAAAGATCATGGAAATCACATAGCAAGTATATATTCATTCTCATTCTCTCTCTCTGTCTCTCTCTCTCTCTCTCCCTCTCTCTCTCTCTCTCCTCTTTTTTCTCTCTCCCTTTCTGCCACAGCCCAAACCAAGGTTTTGCTTGTATGTTCTCACTGGTGTATTTTTAAAATATTAGCAAATAAGGAAGGTGGATCACCACCCTATTGGACAGGGAGGCTTCAAAATGTGTTCCTATAACACTGAGGGCATCATTCCTATGACAGCACAGTAGTGAATCTTCTTGAATCCTGTGCATATGGCAATATCATTATTATCTTTCTAGGAAAGTGACCTACATTCAACATGTTGATTCTTCTAGACCAACTGACCTAGTCAGAGATTTTTGAAGATTTGCAGTCACCACTGAAAAATCTGGGAAAGTAATTAAGCTTCCTAGCAGACAGCAGGGTGGACCTCGCTAGTTGGTGGAGCTCTGGCAACCTGCACCGTCTGCTGGAAGAGGAGGTCCCTAACCTCCAGCCCAACATGCCTGACATGGGGACTGCAGGCTGGGCTTGAGGCTCTTGCTCTGTTCTTGGAGGTGCTTGGGATTTGCCTAGATCTTTTGCTTCTCCAAAACCTCTTCAGAGGGAGTGAAGGGGACACATCCACTCTACCGAAAAGCACCCTCCAAAACAGACCTAGGGCCTGTCCCCACACCAATGCTCACAGTGTTTTCCAAGAAAGAGTCATTTCTCCTTGATTTTTATTCTCTCCCTCTGCCTTGTGCCTTCAACATCAGAGGACCCACATGACTTCTCAACTACTCTGGGAAAGGACAAGGACACATTCTCTAAAAGGGGTTTAGAAGAAAGTTTTTACTTTTCAGAAGTTTTTTTTTTTTTTTTTCCCCTGGCAATTCAAAATAATTTCCTGTTAGGGGAAAGAGTGCTTTTGTCTTTTTTCCAAACAATTCAGTGAATCAAAAGACCATATTACTAGCAAAGTGAGATCATGCAGCTGCAGAGGATGTGAGCTGGGCCTGGCAGGGCAGTGAAGGCCGAGAGGTAGAGTGCCCAGGGACCAGCTGAGCTCTGCGCACAAAGTGTCTTCTTACATCTACACACCAGCCCTTCAAGGGGGAGCCATCATCCCCATTTTACAGGTGAGGAAACTGAGCTTCAGAGGTGAAGTAACTTGCCTGGATTCACACAACTGTAGGCTTGGGCTGAAACCACAGGTCAGGTGGATACCAAAGGTCTATACTTTTTAGCCACAATAGTAGCTTTTTCCCATTTTGTTTTCCATTGGGGCTAGGAACTCAGTGGGTGTTTAAATAGTTGAAACAAGAGTGACATAAAATAAAGATCTCTTTATAAAGGAAAAGTTCCTACTAAAAAAGCAAGCTTTTGGTGTCCTCTCAATTTTCCAGACACTGGAATTAATTCTCTAAACTACTATTGTCCAATTAGATGGCATATTAATATAGAACACCGTATGAGATCCCAGTCGTGGGATTTTAAGGAACTAGATTATTCACGACATGCCCCAGATTCCCAGAGTCCTTAAGCAGATTGATGTCAAGCATTCCTTTTCCTGCCCCAAGGAAGGAGAGAGGAAGGGAGTGGAGGAAGAGAGGAAGGGAAGGGAAGACGGGAGGGAAGGAGACTGAAAATGTATATGAACTACTAAAGGGCAAAGAGGAGAAGTCGACAAAGAGGGACAGGGGGGCTGTTTCTTATCTGAGCACAGGGCGGCTACAAAGGTGTTTGGGTTGTAAAATCAACAAAGGTTTTACTGAGGAAATTCAGCTCAGACACCCTCCTGATTAACGAGGACAAGGCAAACAGTGCCTGTTACTTTTGCACCCTTGGTAATTTATAAGGTTCAAAATGGAAACAAACCCTACTTCTGCAGCCAGCCACCAACCTGCTTTTAAAAAACAACAAGGAGAAAAGAATGCAGCGGAGAAGTGAGAGGGAGTGCCAAGAAGCAGGTATTCCTAGACAGAGAAGAGGGTTCACTCACCCATCCTCGTGATCCTCATGAGGAAATGGTAAGCAGATGCTGTTTTAATGACCCCAAAGCAGGACAATGGGGTCTCAATGTAAAGGCAGAACCATGACCAAAAATTGGGTGTGTATTGTGAGGGGTATCACTGAAGGTATGATGCTGTAGTTACTTCTTGGACCAAGCTACCTTGTGAATTTGTTCCAGAAAAAGAAAAATTCCAAAGATTTAGGTGACAGACAATTTTACTGTAATTTTTTTTTTTTTTAAGGAAAGCAAGGCTTAAATTGGAGAGTCTAATTACAGTATAACTTTGTCTCATTGTGAAATAAGCGAGGTACAATTTCAGAGTAAAAGCAAGAGTAAGGTCTGTTGTTTTTCTTGGCAATGCAAAGTATGTCTGGATCCTTCTATTTTCTTATGCGTTTTCTCAGAAAAAAGAGGAGAAATCAAGGGGAAAAAATCAAAAGCAGAAGGAAAAGGAAAAATTAATTCTTGCCATGAATTCCTCACTGAGGTCTAGGTACTTGCCATTTTTAAGGGTAATTTGGACACAAAAAAGAAAATAGGTCTGAGAAGTTTCACTGCTGACATATTTGTTTCCCACTGAAATAATCACCTCCAAACAGACATTTCTGAAACTTTCCAAAAACAACAACAACAAAACATACTTCTGGGTTTGAGACCAAGCATGAGAAATTGTAGCCTTGGAATATTTATTTTTTTGAGAAAATTACAAACAACTGAGAGTGGATCTGGAGAAGGCCTTCTCCCCCTCCCCCATAGAGGGCAGCTGATTACATGGACTAAGAGTGAGACAACGCCACAAAGGTCACAGTCTCATCCCCTAGACACCCATGCCACAGCAGCTGCTACGGAAAGGGAAGCCTGTAGGAGCTAAACCACAAAACACACCCTTTGGATGTCTTGAGACCAAAAACCAAGATGAGTGCAAACTGAGAGTAGGATGTAGCAGACAGTATGCAGAAACTTTCTCAAAAACATCCTTTAAGGGCAAGAATGAAGTCAGACAAAGTCCTTTGCTCCATTGGTTGAGAAGGGCTATCTACAAGAAAAAAATAATCTCTGCCCCAAGGTAGACTTTTTGCGTGTTCCCAATTTTGTAGAGTAAGATTCCTATTTCTGATGATCTATGAGGACAAAGCAAAGCTTTGCTCCTAGATGGGATGCTGAGTGGCTGGGTTCAAGTGTCAGCAGTTCCTGGTCTCAAGAAAGAGGACCGGGGGCTGGGGATGTGGCTCAAGCGGTAGCGCGCTCGCCTGGCGTTCGTGCGGCCCGGGTTCGATCCTCAGCACCACATACAAACAAAGATGTTGTATCCGCTGAAAACTAATAAATAAGTATTAAAAAATTAAAAAATAAAATAAAATAAAAGCAGAAAAACCTCTTCCTTTGGCTAGCCTGTCACACTGAAGACAGGCCAGATTTAAAAAAAAAAAAAAAAAAAAAGAAAGAGGACGGAACTCCTGCCTGGAAGAGTGGCATGGGGGTGATGCCAGGGAAACTCAGAGGGCTGAAAATGTGAATTTTGATAGCCTTAGGAGGAATTAAGAAAGAAAGGTTACTAAAATACCATACTGGACACCTTTAAAAATATACAGTAAAAAGTTCATTTTTACTTAAGAAGTGTACTTTACCCACAGACCTAATTAAAAGGAAACATTTTAAAATGGGAGGGACCTCAAGAAAATACAATAATAGTCTAGACTAATACATGTGTTTCTAGTCTGTGTGAGTCTGTAACTCACAGAGGATCTCCCAACCAGTTAGAAAGGATGGGTTCAGGACACAAGTCAGGTCTCCTGCTCCTAGACTAGGATGTTCCTCACTAGTTCAACACTGCTTCCAGCAAGTTGTTTCTGAGGCCACATTAACTGACTGCTTAGAATTGGCTTTACCACTAATTTTGCAATGTTTCTGATTTTACTTCTTTATGCATG